TATATATATATATATATATATATATATATATACACACACTAAAATAAGTTACTACTTGTACTAATATCCCTACTTCGCGGTTTTTCATTTCAGGGTTCAGGGTACGGATACCTGCGATAAACGAGGGACTACTGTATTCACAAGTGGAAAACATTTAAGACAGTGTACAAACTTCTCAGGGGTGCCAGCAAATTCACCCTGAAGGTCAGACCGTGCAGTACTCAGACAAAAGAGCTTTGTGTCAGATTCTACAGGTCTCAATGAGCAGGTTAAAGGTGCAAAGGCGCTATTTATAAGACTGAGTTTATAGCTTCCTTTTGATAAAAGGCGAAACATTTCAACAATTTTTTAAAAAGCTGTCCAATGGACCTGATTTAACTTTGTTAGATTTTTCTACCTGAATAATTGAGCATACATCAGGACATGTTTCAATAAGTTCAAATGTTTATGATTTTTATATATGAATGTTTATGTTCAGTGCCCTGAGATGATTTCTGTTGTGACTTGGCGCTATATAAATGAACTGAATTAAACTGAATTTATGCAATGCACCTTTAATCAATACCTTTCACATTTAAAAAAAATAAATCAAATAAAGGCATTTAAATATGAAAATAATAATTATTTTGAGTCTAAAGTGAGACAAACATGATAATATTCATGACTTTTGTCATTTTTAATCAATAACTTTATTGACTGTTTAAAATATCCTGGTGTTTTCCTCCTAATAAATGTAGCTGCTGCAAAAGACACAAAAAAAGAGTTAAATATTCTGAGGTCTGAATGCGAGACAAGGTTTATCATGAAGTTAAAAAAAAGTCTGTCCGTCGTGGATAACTATAGAATCCGTGACGCTGTTTGATTAACGCGTCTCATTAATTATTCCTGACGGGTCCTGAAGCGCTCTCCCTCTTATTCACCTCTATTTTTAACAACACGGGAGGCTTTAAGTGAAAACCGGGTTAATTTTTTTCCCGTACTGACTCGTGTTTTATTAGAACCTCTGAAGGCCTAAAACAAACGCTTTTAGTTTGTTTTTTAGCGAAGCTCAAAACAACGGTTTTTACTTTTTAGTAGGTGAAAGTTTAAGAATCACCGGATTTTAAAAAAATTCAATGTCTATCAATTGCTTTCATTAAAATAAAATATTTATTTAAATTTTTATGCAGCATTATTTTTCTTACATAAGTACATTGTATTTTTTATTTTTTTCAACACAAGCAGTCTTGAAACTGTAAACGGATTAAAAAAAAGTGTTCGTCTTTATTCTTTACAGCACGTTAAAGTCCGGTTGATCCAGGAACTAGGGGCAGTCCTGCTCCAGGACTAACAGACCGACCCGGGCCAGGCTGCGGTGTTCTGGCCCAGCTGGTCTCGGCCTGCGTTGGGGAGAACCGAGCTGCCCAGATGTGTGCTGATCTGAGACAGGCGAAGGCTCCTCGTTTGGCCGCGGGCTCGAGCCTCGTACAGCTCCACCGAGGTCTTCTTATACCTGCAGAGATCATCGGAGGGGTTTTGACTCTAATCTCAAATCGAACGAGTCGTCGAACAATTCAAAAGGTACAACGGTAGAATTTTTGTTCACAATAAAAGCCGTACCACACCAAATTTTAGCTCCATGTTTGTAAAACGTACTAAGATGCTGATGGTGAATAAATATTTAAAAATAGATAAAGTGAAAAAAATTAATTTATGTAAAAGTAAAAATTCTTAAAACCTAAAACAGAGATTTTACAAAGCACAAATATACAAAATATTAGGTTAATACATTTGGACTCTGTTGCTGTTCTGTAATGTTTCACTTGAAAATGTTTTCTACTATTTTCAAGGCCTCATGTCGAACCACTCTCTGTGAATAACCCGTACGGTAAAAGATATTTTGTGCGACTCACATCCTGAGCAGCAGAGAAGACAGAACCACAGACACAGACGAGGCGGCCATCGCTGCCGAGCCCATCCAAGGCTGCAGGACGAGACCGGTGGGCAAAAACACACCTGGAGGCACCACGGGAGAAGATATCACGAAGGCTCCGTCTAACGGCTACTTCGGCAATAAAGGGCGACTCCTCACCTGCAGCGACTGGAATCCCCAACAGGTTGTAGATGAGGGCGAAGACGAAGTTGATCCTGATCCTTCGTACCGTCTTCTTGGACAGCTCGATGCTCGCCACCACGTCCAGCAGGTCGTTCTGCGGAGGGAGAAACCCGTGACGGATTATCACTAGATAGTAGAGCTGTCATTTCTAACCCAACAGCCTGGCCTGACCCAGATTTGGGCAAGGCCGGGTCATAATAATGTTCTTAATGTGCGGGCCGGTGTCGGGCTTTTGATAGTGTCAGCGGACGTGCGTTGCTGACGATTCACTTGTATGGCAACATGGCTTGCCATACAATTACCATTTGCACGCGGCCATTTGCACGCGGCCATTTGACTGCGCGCTGACCGGCATTGAAAGAGGTAAAAAAAAAAGTTCAGTTAAGCTTCAGATGGGACTATATTCATAGGCAGCGATCCATCAAACCCCAAATGGACATTCATTCAGCCGCTGCACTCAGTGGAAGCGAGCGGCTGACAACCCAAATAGGTGAGATCCCAAAATATCTGACATGTCAGAGCATGGTCCATGTCTGAATAATGCAGAAGCAAGGATTTAATGCGCTTTGACAGCCATGAAAGGACAAATACCACCTCAGCTCTGATCTTCTGCCCCCTCAGCCGCACATGTCCGCCGACTGTTAATAACTATATAAGCAGTCAAAGCTTAACTAAAAATGTTGGGATTTTTTCCGGGTTCGGACCTGTAATTACTGTTAATTCGTCAGGTCGGATGGAGTTCGGAAATGATGGCAACGGGCTGGGGCCGAGTTGGGTCGGATTTTTTGGGCCTGAATGCAACTCTACTAGAGAGGCAGCAAAAAGCTGGTAGTTGAAGCCACAAAGAACCAGCGCCCCCTAGTGGCTAGTTCCAGTTCAAATTTTAAGCTCCGCCCCTCTTTGTAAAGCAAAGGCATCTTTTCTGACTAAACAAGGATAGAATTCAAATAAACTCTTTTGTTGTTTATTTTTATTAATTTAAAATGTTCTTACCATACTGCTGTTTGTTCAAACATGCATTTATTTTAAAAATATATTTAGATTAATGAGCTTTTTGAGGCTTTAAGGAAAGTGTCACTTTACGCTGTGACTATTGGCCCGTTAGCGGGTTAGGGGAATGTGTAGGTGGAACTTTGGTATGAGACGCTTTGTCCTTCTTTATTAAAGTGGTCGGCTCCAATGGTAAAAACCACGTCCCTGCAGCATCACTTACTCGGATCAGGACGATGTCGGCAGCTTCGATGGCCACATCTGTGCCGGTGCCGATAGCGATGCCGACGTCAGCGCAGGCCAGGGCAGGCGAGTCGTTGATACCGTCTCCCACCATGGCCACTCGAATGCCTTGCTTCTGCAGCTCCTGAACCTTTGCCACCTTATGCGATGGCAGCACCTCAGCAAACACCTTTCTGATCCCCACCTGCAGTCAAACACCACCTTTCACTTCATGTGACGACACCTCGGTGCCTTTGGTTCATAGTTTTACCTGTGCTGCAATGGCTTTGGCCGTGCGCCTGTTGTCTCCGGTAATCATGACCACTTCAAGCCCCATGCTTTTGAGAGTGTGCACCGCTAGTGCCGATTCTGTTTTCACTGTGTCTGCAATGGCCAGCATGGCACACAGAACCCCTACAGAAAACACACCCGAAACGAACAGGTTTAAATGAGGTAAAGATTTTACTGTGTTTTAATGTCTCAACTGCTGGGCCATAGACCAAATCAAGTCCGCAACATCAAGCCATCTGGCCTTCTGAAGCGTCACAGAACGGATCAATTTTATACTATCCATTGTACTTTTATGTCTGTTAGCTAATAAACCTTTGCAAAGACAAAAATGATTACAAATCTTTTAATTTTCTACAAATTTTGAGTAAACATTTTATGCAGTAGTAGCTGAAAGTCATCCATAACACGTACTCTGAGAGTGACCGCAATGTCAGGGGAATTTAGGTAAATGTTATGAATGTTTATCACTAACTAATGTTAAATTAATGTTGAACCATGTGTGTGAGGTCAGAGAGTCTTCTGTCTGCTCAGAGAGGAGCTGATTTGAGCCTGCATATACAGTAGGGGTGTAACAATACATCGATTTAATTGATATATTGATTAATGATTCAATTATTTCATGGCAAAACTAAAACATTAATTCATATCGTCATCTTTAAAATATGCTTTTATTTTGAAATTCCCAAGGCACATCTGTGTCAGAAACACGGTATTGATAGCCAGGTTATGTAAGCTCAATATCTATTTTTGTTTCTTTATAAGTGAAAGGTAATCAGGACACTTTTAAGCTAACTGGTTTAAAAAATGAACTAATGAATTAAACATGAGAAATGTGAGACTATACTGAACAAGGCATTTATTTTTATTTTTGCATGTATTAAGAAAAAAATGTTTTTTTATTTAAATGCCTGGTGCCTGTAATAACAGAAATAAAATGGTTAAATCATGTTTGAATTGTTTTTGTTAATTTATATGTAAATGAGATGGGCATTTGATATCGCAATATATCGACCACAGACTTGTGAATAGAATAGAATTGAAATCGTATCGTGACAGATTTTGTGATACAGAAAAATCGTATTGTCATACAAACCGGATTCCAAAAAAGTTGGGACACTAAACAAATTGTGAATAAAAACTGAATGCAATGATGTGGAGATGGCAAATGTCAATATTTTATTCGTAATATAACATAGATGACAGATCAAAAGTTTAATCTGAGTAAATGTAACATTTTAAAGGAAAAATATGTTGATTCAAAATTTCACAGTGTCAACAAATCCCAAAAAAGTTGGGACAAGTAGCAATAAGTGGCTGGAAAAAGGAAATTGAGCATATAACAAACAGCTAGAAGACCAATTAACACTAATTAGGTCAATTGACAACATGATTGGGTATAAAAAGAGCTTCTCAGAGTGTCAGTGTCTCTCAGAAGCCAAGATGGTAAGAGGATCACCAATTCCACCATTGTTGCACAGAAAGAAAGTGCAGCAATACCAGAATGGTGTTACCCAGCGTAAAATAGCAAAGACTTTTAAGTTATCATCATCAATCGTGCAGAACATCATCAAAAGATTCAGAGAATCTGGAACAATTGCTGTGCGTAAGGGTCAAGGCCGTAAAACTCTACTGGATGCTCGTGATCTCCGTGCCCTTAAACGTCACTGCACCTCAAACAGGAATGCCACTGTCAAGGAAATAACAGAATGGGCTCAGGAATACTTCCAGAAAGCATTGTCAGTGAACACAATCCACCGTGCCATCCGCCGTTGCCAGCTGAAACTCTACAGTGCAAAGAGGAAGCCATTTCTAAGCAAGCTCAAACGTTTGCACTGGGCCAGGGGTAATTTAAAATGGAGTGTGGCAAAGTGGAAGACTGTTCTGTGGTCAGATGAGTCACGATTTGAAGTTCTTTATGGAAAACTGGGACGCCATGTCATCCGGACCAGAGAGGACAAGGATAGCCCAAGTTGCTATCAACGCTCCGTTCAGAAGCCTGCATCACTGATGGTATGGGGTTGCATGAGCGCTTGTGACATTTTTTTATGCATCACATATAAGCTGCCTTTTGACATGTGTAGACTTTTTAAATCCGCTGTAATAAGCAGAGTTTTGACCGATCAAAGGCTGACATACGCACGGTCTGTTAATCAGAGTTTGTTATTTGGTCCTCACCATCTATTGACACCAGTATGGCGGTTTGTCCTTTCGTCTCGTGGCTCGACATGGCAGCATCAACGTCTGCTGTGATGTGGTGACCGTTCCTCCTCATCCACTCCCTGTTCCCGATCAGGACGGAGTAAGATACACCCTTAGCTGGACACAGGAAGAAATGAATCACACATATTTACACGTTCAATCCAACATTGGTTCCATCATAAAGGTATTAAAAAAAAACTCATGGAAGGTGGTGGACAGGTAGACCCACCTGCAGAGAGCGGCCCGTTTCCAGTGCTTCCCCCAGATAAAAGGAAACCCTCGTCACTCGGCGGCAGAAGATGCTCCACGTTGGACACCCGACAGCTGATCCCACAGCCGGGAACTGTCTGGAAGTCCTTGCAGAGTCCCAGAACATCCGAGCCCAGCTCCTGTTGGGTGCACGATCACTGTATGAACGGTGAGTCAGCATTTTTACTCTTTGTTTTCCACTATAAATACTTCTGCTCCCTTTGTGATATTTTAGCCTTACATGTCCTTCAGTTAACTGAAAATTTGTGTTTTGATGCATTTTGCTACTTTTGACTTGTAGTTAGCATTTAGAAAATTTTGGCCTTTAGCTTTAGCTTAGCCTGAAAGTCACTGGTGCCCGTCAGGGCGGCGACCACAGGACCTGCTGGTGGACACCAGTGGTAATCTGGGACAGTTATGGTCTGGGTTTCGTTTCGTTACCTCTAGCCTCCGTGACCCAAATACAGAGAAGAGGTAGAAAATTAAGATGAAAATGACTTTTAGCTAGCATTTTGCTTTAACTAGTGTTTTTAGCTACTTTTGGCTTATAGCTAGTGTTTTTGCCTTTTTATTTTTTTAGATAACATTTAGATTCTTTTAGCTTTAATCTTGCATAATATTTCTTTTAGCCAGAATTGTGTATCTTTTAACTTTTAACAAGTGTCTTGCTTTCATTGGCTTGTAGCTAGCATTTTGCTTTAATTAGCTTTTAGCTAGGGTTTAGACTTTTTCCCTCCTTTAGTTAATGTTTTTTGCTTGTTTCGATTTTAAGGTGGTATTTTTTGCTTTATTTAGCTTTTCAGCCTGTGTTTTTCAGCTTTTAGCTAGCATTCTGCTTCAGCAGAACCGGCCATTTCTTTGGCTGGTTTTTTTTTTTGGCTTTTTGACTTGCTGACAGCTGACTGAAGGCTGAACTCCAACAGGATTCTTACATCTTTGCAGTATTTGGCGACTGCTGTGCCCAGCGGGTGCTCGCTGCTGGCCTCAGCAGTTCCAACTAATGCCAGGACCTTTCTTAGGGGCATGCGGGCCAGGTCCCACAACACCAGCACACGGGTCACCTGCGGCACGCCATTTGTAATGGTGCCGGTCTTGTCGAACATCACTACGTTGATCTGAGACAAACAGGAGGATAATCAGAAAGAATTTGTGTAAGACCTTCGTATACACACATTTGAATCAAGATAATAGCAAAATCTGTCCACCAGGAGAAAAAACAACCGTAAAACACCACGGTATTGCTTATTTTACCATTTATGAAGATTAATTAGATTTTTTTTCTTTCATCCAATGTAAATGAGGATGCAAAGTGTTTTGCCTTGTGTGCCATTTCCAGCGGCTCGCCTCCTTTAATCAAGATCCCGTTCTGAGCTCCAACCCCAGTGCCAACCATTACAGCTGTCGGGGTCGCCAGCCCCAGAGAGCAGGGGCAGGCGATGGCCAGAACAGTGATGGACGCCTGGAAGGCGAAGCGGACGATGACTTCGGCCTTGGAGATGTTCTGGTTGTAACCCTGTGAGGTGGCCGACAGTCAGAACTTCGCCAGAGCTGCTTCCTGTGAAGGTGCTCGGCAGATCGGACCTACCGGGAAGTTCTCCCTCACGATGTCAAAGTCAACAAACCCCACGGCCAACCAGGCCACCAGCGTCAGCAACGAAACGAGGATGATGAAGGGAACGAAGTATCCGCTGAGCCTGTCTGCAAACTGCTGAATGGGAGCCTGGACAAAAATGACAGAGGTTTCACAAAAATCTGTTTTTTTTTTAACTGGTTTATAAACAAAACTATTACCTACTTTTGAAGTTTGTGCTTCTTCCACCAGTTTCACTATCTGAGACAGAGTGGTTTCAGCGCCAACGTGAGTGGCCTCCACCATCAGAGCACCATGAGCATTAATGGAGCCCGCAATCACCAGACTACCCACCTTCTTACTAACAGGCATCGGCTCACCTGATGGAGAGAGGTAAAGGTCTCAATAGTAAGAAATTGACAAACACGACCTTGCAGCATCTTTCTTTCAGCTACCTGTGATCAGGGACTCATCTGCCATGGAGTTTCCCTCAGTCACCTTCCCATCCACAGGAAACTTTCCTCCTGGGGCGACCTTAATGATGTCGCCCCTTTGGACCAGCTCCGCCACCACCTGCTCCTCGCTGAGACGCACAAACACATTCAGCGCTACGCTGTAGCACCGCAACTCTGCGAGCGTTCATTCGGTTTGTTTTACCTGACGATGGAGTGGTCGGGTCCCAGAGTGACCACAGTGGCATGAGTGGCTTGTAGAGACACAAGTTTGGCCAAAGCTTCTGAGGTTTTACTCTGAAAATGTGGAAACAAGACTGACTCAGTGAGGAAGACATTCATTCCTGATGGGTTAACAACATGATGAAAAAAAAAACCTTGCAAGACCAGCACTTAATGATGCTGACATTCCACAGGGGGGTGGGGACACAAGGGCGGTGAGCATGTCCAGAGACAACACACAGGGGCACTGCAGAGTTCAGATAAAATCGCTCAGTTCAAATAGTTCCCTCTGGAGAGCTCCGTACACTCTCGTGGGGGTGCAGAGGACAGCCAAGGACGACGTCAGAATATAATCAAAAGAGTCTGAGCCCCTCTGATTGGTCTGTAGACGTCCTCGGTGGGAGGGGAAAAGGGGCAGAGCATTAAACGTTTACAAAACTTCCAGGCGAATTAAGATAAGATGGCCTGTCAAGGCTAGTCAGGGAGCCGAATTCAAATAAACATGATTGTTTTGGGGACAGGCTTAACTTTAGTGACATCTACCTTGAGTCTGTGTCGGTGCACTCAGTTCCGAAACGTCCAAATTAAATGGCCATACCAATGGACCATGCCTGAGAGTAACCCTGAGATCTGAGCCATCCTGCCAAAAGCATTTGAGTCTGTATACTACATACTATATCAACATTATTTTGTGTGTACACATACATGCTGTCCCTATAGTGCTTGTTTATGCCACCAGGAATCGGCACAGTCAGGGATCCTCCCTTGCCTGCTGTCCTGATAGTCTTTTTATGCCTCCTAGACGCCTCCTTTAGGAGGTTTCACGGGCTAGTTAAACTGGAAAGAGGCCCCAGAGCAGATCCAGAAGTCTCTATAGGGATTACATATACAAAGTATGTTCTCTGGCCTGGGAAAACCTTAGAATCCTCCAGGAGGACCTGGAGAGTACTGCTGAGGCGAGAAATGCATAGGTTTCTCTCCTGGACCTGTTGCATCTGCGACCCGGTAGTAGATGGAGATGGAGATGTACAAAGTACATACTGTATACCAGAGCTGTAATGGTACATGTACAGTATTATACCATGACCGTTCAGTAAAATTGTTTCCAACAGGTACAGTGACTGACGAAGAATTTTGTCCCTTAACTACCTCAGACTGGATGCTAGTTTTATTTAAATGACATTAAAGAAGAAATGAAATATACCATCTTAACACTTTCCATCAGACAGACTGGTTCAAAATAACGTATTCAAATCAGCTATGTGGAAGAACACTCTGCGGTGCCACTATTCACAAAGTTAATGTCTCCAAAATAAACCCAAAAAATTTGCATTTTGATCTCTTTCACCCCAAAATAAAGAGAGAAATTCCATGTCCAAACACAGATGAACAGTTTGGACTCCACATCATGATGAAGACGTCTACCTTTGCAACGTGTTCCAGCCATCGGCCCAGAGCTATAAACACAAAGAGCATTGGCGGAGTGTCGAAAAACGTGACGGGACTCTGGTCGGCTCGCTCTGCCATGGCGACGATGAGGACCACACAGGAGTAGATGTAGGCGATGGAGGTGGCCAACACGATCAGGACGTCCATGTTGGCGGTGCGGTGTTTTATTGAGCGATATGCCTGGATGTAGAAGTACCGTCCTCCAAAGATCTGCACAGAGAATTTTTAGAAAACTAATATTTAGTAACCCTTTTTGCCACGGTTTTAAATGAAGAATCTTAAGATGAGAAGTGTTTAAATGACGGGGATACCTCTCAGCTATTACTACAGCATATTTTAAAAGAATATCTGTGAAATTGACAGAATTATACCCATTTTTTGTCATTTTTAAGGTTATTTAGCTGTGATGGCCATCTTAAACTAGTCCAGTCCTTCTCAAATAGTGGGACGCGCCCCCCTGGGGGGCCCGGGGCAATGCCAGGGGAGGGCGTATGTGACCCAGGGAACTTTTTTTTTTTTTCTTTCACCATTCTCATTTTGTCGCGTGCGTTCCAGCAGCTGTTTGCACGTATCTCTCAGACTGACTAATAATAAAGTTATTCATTCAACCTTTATTTAAACAGATAAATCGCATTGAGCCTCAAAGACTCATTTACAAGTGAGACCTGTTTGGACAGACAAAAACAGTGGTTAACTGGACACATGTAGTAGTTGGAGGCGAAAAAAATTCCTATCAGACTTTTTTCTTGGCTGAGAAAAACCCCTAATACTGAAAAAACACCTCGCACAAACAAGCACATATTTACGTAGACATTCTGCAGAGCAGGAAGAAGGAAGAGACGAGAGCGGTCAACAACGTCTACAGATGCTCTCGAGGTCACTGTAATCAGTCAATGTCCTCCGGTGAGATCCATAAACATTCTCGAGGTATGTCGAGGAATGGCCAAGAATAACCCCTGAGAATCCAGAGTCTCGAAATGATGTCACAAAGTTTTTTCAGTGGGGTTTCATCTGGTTATCAGTTGGAAATTCCTCAGGGAGGGGGTGGTGAGCGTCAGATCACATTTTCTCCAGGTGACTTTAGATAAGATGGCCTTCAAGGACACCAAGGCGAACAAAATTTAGATAAACACACAGTTGTTTTGGAGACAGGCAGAACTTAATGACATCAACCTTGAGTCTGTGTTTGGTCCACTCGGTTCCGAAATGTCCAAAATAACATGACCACACCGATGGAACATGTCTGAGTAAAAATCCCCAAGATCTGATCCATTCAGCCCAAAGCATTTGAGTCCGGGTACTCGAGACATGAAACCAAACCATCATAAAGGCAAGCAGCATGATCGGGTCCAAATTTGCTGCTGGCGACTTCCTTGATTGTAGATAAAAACCAGGATCAGCTGAATCCAAAAAGCAGGAACCAGTTATCGTGAATCCAATTAAATACGCGTCCCTAAAAATCCACAGATGGCAGCAGGGATAGACACATCATCAAGTCTTCCAGTCGATGAGATATCCAGCTGCGTACGTGCCAACAGGGTAAATCGGCTCGCCCAAAGCCTGTCTTCTCTTGAAGAAATGTTGTAAATTGAGTTGAGGGACCAACTGGTCAGAACAAGTCCATAATTATGGTTCGGAAGAAATGCAAGAGAGTCTCCGAGTCTCAGAAGCAGTTTCACAGACAGACAGAGCAGCAGAGCGGAGAGGGAGGGAGGGAAGCATCCGATCTCAGCTTGAGCAAGTGGTGAAGTGAACAAACATGACTGCCTTGTCGTTTTGGGAGCCATGCATGAACCGTGTCACTCCCCTCTGTTGCCGAGACATAAACTCTGACACCTCCGCTGCATGTGTTTTATGTCCATGCGCTCTGGACATCACTCACAGTGCGCATGCAACAAAGAGTAAACTCAAAGCGGGAGGGTTACCTGCCCCCTCTTTCCTCTTTCGCATTGATAACATTTTTTAGTTTTATCGATGAGTGTGCTCATTGATCCTGACGTCCTCATTTTGATTAAAAAAAAATCAGTAAAAATGGTTTTATTCTTTTTTTTTTTTTTTAGGTCAAAGTGTTTTATATAGCACTCATGAGTTAAAATGGTGCTGATCAATTTGAATGTATTATTATTTATTGATTATATTTGTTCTTTTTCAGTATCAAATGGTCAAAAATGTTTACAGTTTAAATAAAGATTTAAGTTTTTTTTTTTCAGGCAAATTGACACACTTTAATTAGTTTATGTTACAAACTAAAAAACAATATTAATAAAGTTATTCTTTGTTGTAAGTTGATCTATATTATTTTTCCTTTAATGTTAATAAGGACACAGTGTTAGGCAGAGGTGTACTTAGAACAATTTTATAGACAAATGATACTATTTACAGTCGCAGTGGATAGTGTGTGTGTGTGTGGGGGGGGGGGGTAACAGCAAATAATTGAGAAGCACTGAACTAATCCAACAAAAGTTCAGTGAGGTCATCTGGACAGTTACAACTTTTTTGTTTGTTTTTTTGTTGAGACGTTTCATCCTTCATCCAAAGGACTTCATCAGTCCGAGGAGCCACAACAAACTCAGTCTCACAAGCAGCACACTCACATATCAGTTTGCTGGTGATAAGATGGTTTCTGGGGCCTGCCCTCTCCCCTGTCGACTCCTCGGAGGCAGTGATAGCTAAAGTGGTTCAAAACATCAAAGTTCATGCTCAATAATCCAGGTAGAAAATCTAACAACGTTCAGTCAGGTCATCATGATTCTTTTTTATTTTTTTGTTGTTGTGATGTTTCGTCCTTTATCCAAAGGACTTCATCAGTCAGAGGTACCACAACAAACTTATTACCAGCAAACCGGTTGGTTCACTATGTGAGTGTGCTGCTTATTGAACCGAGTTTGTTGTGGCTCCTCAGACTGATGAAGTCCTTTGGATAAAGGACGAAACATCACAACAACAAAAAAATAAAAATAAACCGTCCAGATGACCTGACTGAACGTTGTTGGATTTTGTACATGGAGCATGAACATCTTAAACTAGGTTGACTCCAAAATGTAATTAGTTAAGTACTTCCAATGAGTGTTCCAACTTCCTTCTGAGAGTTTAACAATTATCCAGTGGTTCATGAAATGTTCTAGTATTAATAGATTCACACGTTGTTCTTTTCTACCTGCACAGGTGTACAGAGCAGGAAAAAGGCCAGGTTGAGGAGGGAAAGGCCTGGCAGGATGTTCTGCTCCTCAGGCATGGAGCCTCCATGTTCTTTGTGCTGGCTGTCCATCACCATCATGTAGATCATGAGGCCCATGACGGGCAGGCCGAAAACAAGGCTGAGCAGGAAGGAGTTCTTCCACCTGGAGGAGAGAAAATACGAGGAACATTTTCATTGATTATTAGATGAGACACTGGCCGCCTAAACTGGGGATTATGGGTTGAATCCCAGCTGGGGTGGAGTTTGGTTTAGTTGGACTCATCTTCTGTCAGTCTGATCCCTGAAGGAAGTGTCAACTCCAGAGTTGTTAACATGTTGGGTTGGTGTGTAAAACGTAAATAAATAAATAAACAATGCAATGATTTGCAAATCTCAAACATTTTATTCACAGAAACACGTGATAGTTTTCATGTTTCTGCCTCTCTGTCATTCTGCCACGCCCACTCTTCACCCGCAGCTCATGAGCATGCACTCATGTTCCTGGCCATATTTAAGAACCCCTCTCACCACTTCCCTCTGCCAGATTATCGAACCCCTTTCGGAAGTAGATGTCCAGGCACTTTATCCACAGTCTTGTTTGATCCTCTCATCTCGACCTCACGCCTCCTTTTGGAAACCCCCGCTCCCTGTCTGGTTTTGCCGCTCTCATCTTGTTACCGATTACACCTTCTGGCCTATCGCCCTCGAATCACAGATTACCTTTTGGATTTGTTTCTGGATCTCTGACTCCCCGTGCCTAACCCCGACTCTTAGACCTCTCTTTTGGATTAACCCCCTGACCACATTAACCACAGCTCTCCACTGAAGCTGCTCATTATCCAGTGACGCCATCTTACCCAGCAGCTTCTACAGGTGGCCCCCCACATCATCTGCTTGAGGTTAGCGGCTGTTTTTCTGTTCACCATCTCGTTCTCAGAAATACTCAGTCCATCAACTTTCATATCTCTGCAGATTAGCCCCAGCATTGGATCCTGACCCCCCCACCAGCAGCTGCATTATAATGAACTTTTTTAACCCTTCTTGTTGTTCGACTGTTTACCTGAATCTAAAAACCTAAACCTTGTCAATAGTAAACGTATCAAGTGTTAAAAATGACCTTTATGTATTTTTTTTTATGATTTTGAATTTGATTGCAGCAACACATCTCAAAATTTGGGCTAATGGCAACAAAAGCTATGAAAGTATGTAGCATTAATTTAAAAAAATAACAACTGGAAGAACATTTAGCAACTTAGTTTAACCGTCAAAGGGTCAGTAAAAGTACCGGGTGTAAAACGAGCATTTTAAATCTCTTAGAAGTAAAGATGGGCAGAGGTTCATCGGTCTGAAACACTGTCTAAAAATAGAACTTCAGAATAATGTTCCTCAAAAGAAATGTATAAAGACTTTACCTACAGTTCATAATATCATGAAAATATTTCAAGAATCTGTAGAAATCTCTGGGCTCAAAGGAAAAGAATGAAAGTTCATTAGATGTTCATGATCTTCGAGCCCTCGGGATCCACTGCGTTCAAAACAGATCTGAATCTGTTCTGGACATCACTGCATGGACTCAGGGACTCTTCCACAAACCACTGTCTGTAAACACAGCTCACCTTTCCATTCATCAATGCTTGTTAAAGCTCTATCATACAAAGAAGAAGCCATGTGTGACAACCATTCAAAACACTGGCGTCTTCTTTGGACCAAAGCTGATTTTAAATGAACTGAGACAAAGTGGAAAACTGTTCTGAGGTCAGACAAATGAAAACTTGAAATTCGTTATAGACACCACAGATGTCCCAGACTCTGTAGCGGGACCATCCGGCCTGTTATCAACACACAGTTCAAAAGTCGGCCTCTCTGACGGTATGGGGGTGCATTAGTGGCGTGGATAGCTTACAAATGTAAAAAGGAGTAACCAATGGAGAAAAGCAAATCTGTTGAATCAGACCCTCTAAAACCTCTGGCAGCTGGTCTCTTCAGGTCTAGACGTTTACAGACTGACGATCCAAGAAGAGAGGCTTCACGTTAACATGGACTGAAACAACTTTTTAAGATGTCTTGCTGCCATCAACTTCAAAATTACCTTCTTTGAATAAATGAATGTCTTAGTTTGAAGATTTGATACTTTGTCCCGCTGTCGATAAAATATGGGTTTATGAGATGTGCAAACCATTGCATCTTGTTTTTATTGACAGTTCACAAACCAACCCAATGTTTTCAGATCTCTAGTTGTAGATGTGAGCAAGGTCTAGACCAGGACTCTCATCTCTTTGTTTATAGATCTACATTTAAAAAGTTTACAACAGATACTTGCTGTCGAATTTCTTCCGAGTGATCCAGGTTGTTCTTGATCCCGGCCTTCTCCAGACTGGCCTCAAATCCAAGGCTCTGCGGTGAAAAGCACGTCCCATCACATATGTAAACAAGGTCAGACATGAAACAACTTTAAACTAGAGACATCGCATTTCCTGCGAAAATGCAGTGTGAATGCGTATTGCAGAAGAACTTGTTAAAAACAGCTAAAATTAGCTACAAAACATGCTAAAATGTAGCTGAAATGGAAGAGCAAGCCTAAGTTAGCAGAAGAAAGCAGAAAGAACACATATTTGCTGAAATAGGTTTAAAAAGCATAAATAAGCATAAACAATAGCTGAAAGTAGCTGAAATGGCAGAAATAAGCTTAAAGTACCAGAAGGAAGTAAAAAAGAGCTAAAATGAGCTGTTAAAAAAGGAAAAATTAGCTGAGAAAGCTAAATTTAACATAAAACAGTTAAATAGTAGCAGAAAAAGCTGAAACTAGCCAAAATAAAAACTGAAAGGCATTTAATAAGCTGAAATTAATATAAATAAGTTTATTAGGCTGAAAGTAGCAGAAATTACCACCAAAAACTTGAAATTATTTGAAAGCAGCTGAAATTAGCTAGAAATGCTAAAAAGTTAGAGTAAGCTTAAATTAGCAGAAGAAAGCAGAAAGAACACATTTTCTGAATTAGGTTTAAAAAGCAGAAATTAGCACAAAAATGAGGAAATCAGCAAATGAAAGATGAAATTAACTAGCAAAAAAAAAAAAAAAAAAAGCTGAAAAATAGCTGAAAAGGCAAAAAGAAGCTTAAACTACCAGAAGGAAGTGGAAAGAGCTAAAATGAGCTTAAAAAATGTGGAATTAGCTGAAAAGGCTAAATTTAACATAAATTAAAATAGTAGCAGAAAAAGCTGAAACTAGCAGAAAAAACTGAAAGGCACATAACGAGCTGAAATTACTATAAAGAAGTTTATTAGGCTGAAAGTAGCAGAAATTACCATAAAAAACGTGAATTTATTTGCAGCTGAAATTTGCAGCTGAAATGCTAAAAAGGTAGCTGAAAAGATAGAGCCAGCTTAAATTAGCAGAAGAAAGCAGAAAGAACATGTTTACCCCATTAGGCTAAAATACGCAGAAATGAGCACAAAGAAGTGGAAATTATCTGAAAAAAGCTGAAATTAGCAAAAAACCAAGTAGCTAAAAAAATCAGAAAGAAGCTTAAATTCCCAGAAGGAAGGGGAGAGAGCACATTTTTTGCTGAATAGGCTCTGTGCACATGCGTCCTGAATCACTTCCCCTTTGACCGGATGTCGGCATTCCAGTTTCCGGTCTAATCCCCGGTCTCGGTGAAAATGGCGTTTTCTAGATGTTTACAAGAGCTGCCCAAGATAAATATCAGCGATGTTCATCGTATTGTTGATGGCTGGTCCCCTGCTCCGACAAGCAAACGTAACAAGGGATTTAAATTGTATATCTCAAGATACCTGCACAACTACGAGGGTAAGTAACGTTAGTTTGATCGTTGTGATGTTGCTAACTGTTTGCAGCTAACGTTAGGCTATTAGCAACACGACCATTTTTGTGTATACTCACGTTATAGAAACAGGTTTTCCACACTTAAACAAAAGGCTCATATTTTGTGATCATTCTACTAACATTCTGCTCTTCTCAGTTTCTAGCAAAAATCAGGACACAGGTGAAGTCGTTGTCAGGGCTCTGTGTCACAGGTCCATGAAGAAAAATGAAAAACCTCACAGTTTAAGTGTAGGGTGAAGATAGGATTGTTCAGATGACAGTTTTAAGATTGTTGGTTCAGTAACCCGACGTTCCTAATGTTAATGGGGATTTAGCTAAGGTGGTAATTAATTCTTAAATAAAAATAAAATGGAATTGGCTATTTGATGAATATTAACACGTGAGTTTGGCCTTGCTTGTCCCCATTTGGTTATTTGCTGCATGCATTGTTCTTCTTTTATGGTTGTTATGTGTTACTTTTAACCCAGTGTTAATTTGGTAATTCATGCATATTAGTTTTACTTAAATCTAAAGAATACACTCACAGTCTCTGTAACATTATCCAGGTATTTTTACCTAGCGGGTCTCCTCTGGGTTAAAAGTGTTTTGAAATCAAGTTATCTTTATCTCATCCATTCATTTAAGATGTAATCTTGTGATAATTGTATTACACTACTCTTGACCTTCATAGAACATACTCCAAACTAAATATATAATCACATAACATGATACTATGGTTCTATGACATTAGTTATAAAAAAATATTTGGGAAGCAAGATTGCATCATGAAAGAATGGCTGATGAGTGACCAAGCTAAGATAATAAGTTCTTACTATGACATTCTTATGCAGGTGGTCCTGAAAGACTCGTGTCCTGTGGAGCTGATTCACCACAGCTGTACGTGTGTTGCTGGTGCAGCATTATGCAACCACTGTGTGGCTTTGCTGTTCCAGTCAGCACATTATTCTGAGCTGAAACTGTCAGTGGTCCCCCCTGTACTAAGCTGTACAGAAGGAGAACAGCAGTGGCACAAGCCCAGAACTTTAGTAAGTTTTCTCTTCAATAATAGACTCAATTTATTACATTTTCTTGCCGTATAACTTGTAACTGTGTCATGGATAACTGAATAGGGTATAAAACCTGGCCCCGTGGACAAGATGACTGTGCTGTCTGCTAAACCGAAGAGTGGAGCAACAACAGAGGGTGTAAGGTAAAAAAAAATCAATAAAAATTCTGATGTATTACAACAGTGTTTCTCAACCCTGGTCCTCAAGGCACACTGCTCTGCATGCTTTATAGATTTCCCTGCATTAACACAGCTGATACAGTTGTTAATCAGTTACCAACTGAAATGAGCTGTGTTTAAGCAGGGACAAATCTCAAACATGCAGGACAGTGTGCCTTGAGGACCAGGCTTGAAAAACACTATTATTTTATGTTTCATATCTGAACGAAATGCAGGTGGGTATTCTATTTTTGACTCATGTTCTTTTCTTATTTTTATACACAGGAGCACACTCTACAAAGGCCTTAGTGGGGATTTGCCGGACCTTTCTGTCCTTAGAGTAAGTAGTTGTATTTAAATTACTGATAAATAAAAATGAAATTAACAGTAGGCTACAATGTACTAACAAAGAGTTGTAGACTTACCGGTGTATTGAATAATTTTATTTTCAAGTGCTGTCTCTTTGTAAAGTGTAGAATTTTTGAGGGCTTAAAATTAGTTGATATACATGTATTTTACATTTTATTGAAATAATTGTTTTCACTTTCCCAGGTTTCCGAGGTGTATGAAGATTTTGCAGCAGCTGATGCACCAATGATCTGCAGCATGGGAATCAGCCATGAATTTCCCCTTGTTGACTCTGCCCTTGGCAAAGTTCAGGCTGGAAGTCCTCTGTCCTACCAACAGCCAGCAACAGCAAAGAGAGACATGTCCTTCCATGCTGCACCACCCCGCCCATCTCTGCCTCTTAAGAACTACCACCTACAGCCATCAAAAAGCATGTTTGTTTGTTCTGAACCACAACAGCTACACCTTAAAAGTATGGAGGTCACCTGGGACATGGTGAATAAATTTGAATGTGCTACCAGAGCACAGAGTACATGTCCTGAATGGCATCAGCTAAGGAGGCATAGGTTGACTGCCTCCCGCTTCAGGGAGATCTGCCAGGTTCAAGATAAATCTGAGGAAGATCTGGCAAATCGTCTGCTGCAAGGGACCTATCAGACTGCAGCTATGAAGAGAGGGCTTGAATTAGAGGCAGATGCTATCTGGGAATATTGTCAAATTAAAAGAGTCAACCACTATCCCTGTGGATTTGTGATTCACCCTGATGCTCCTTGGCTAGGGGCATCTCCAGACGGATTGATCTTTGATCCTTCTGAGCCATGTCAGTTCGGGCTGATTGAGATTAAGTGTCCAAATGTGAAAAGTTATGTTGACTGTCCATATCTCCAAATGAAGTCAGGCAAATTGGAACTAAAAAAAACTCATGTTTACTATTGGCAGGTTCAGGGGCAGATGCTAATAACTGGGATGAACTGGTGTGATTTTGTTGTCTCAGCTGAGGAAGATATTCTTATTCAAAGAATTTATGCAGACACTAATGTGATGGATTCAATCAAACACAAAGTAGACAGATATTTTTTCTATGTTTACCTGCAGAAATGTCTAAATTAGGAGTTTGATCAAATCAAATGTACAAATTTGTTTCAAAATATTTCCATCATGAATATCTATTTACAAATGTAAGACAATGTCAATGTAAGTAAATGACAGCATTTTCTGTTTCTTCAAGACTGTGCCATCAGCTTTTCTGTCAAACTTCATATCTCCATTTCCTGACCAAAGGTCCATTTTGGTAATTTGACAGGAGACAGGCAACTGTAAAAATTTGGTTTATGCTTCCTGCAATGGAGAGAGGGATAGTGGAATCAAAGAGTTTATTTTCTTTAACTCTTCTTATTAACCTCTCAACATGCACCCTCAAACGGGCAATGGACTGGGTCTTCAAAACGTCGACCTCTGACATTTGGGCCCTCTTGGAGAGGAAGGCAGGACGATGAACAGTCCCAGGTACGAGATCATCCACCAAGAATCCCTTGTCCACCATGATGGCCATGTCCAGTGTCAAGAGTGATGTAATCCCTGATTGACGGAACACTTCCTTGTCACTCATGGAACCCTCAAACAGTGCTGACACAAATGTCAGGGCTCCGTGAGGAGACATGCCCACCATGGCCTTAAAGGTACAGTGGGATTTGTAGGTGGAGAAGACTTCACTCTGGAGGAGCAGGGATGAAGGTGTTTGACACCGTAGTTCTGTACAGTCCAGGATAACTTGTGTGTCACTGTAGCGGCCATCAAAATCCTGTGGAAGACTGGAACTCACAGCTGCAGGAGACATCCACACACAAATTGAGCCCAATAAGCAGTACAGGAAGTTGGCCCATGTCACAATAATGCGGCTGACTGTTGCTCTGTGGATGTTAAATCGATGGCCCAGTTCCCTCTGGGTACATCCAGTAGACAGGTAGGAGAGGAAAAGAAAAAGCTCATCTATTGGCAGCAGTTTCTGGACAGAAAATTATTTAAATGTTAGTTCAAAACCAGCATTCTCATTGTGTGTGTGTGTGTGTGTGTGT